TTGCAGATTTTGAAGATTTCATTGCAATGAATTGTGGGATACTTCCCCAAGTGAGCGGCTCGGCTAGCGGGTTACTTCGGCCTCACCCGGTAACGCAAAAAATAGCACGTAACTGCCAAATCGAACGTATTTGGTCGGGCCGAGTAGACCCAGTTAACTTGGGAAGCAAATCGAACGCACTAGTAATAGTATTAGAATTGTAGTCTAATATGACTTTGTGGCGCCATCTATCAGACAAAGATTCATAGACAGCATTCTGTGTAATTGTCCATTCTAACATTGATATATATCTATATATGCAACATTAAATACGGTAATAAACTTATTAAAAGGCACTATACATGCTGCAATGAAAGAACAGTCGCTGCATAATGGTGAATAATTAGGTCTTGTAATGTTCTCACAATTATTGTAGTCAAATATAACACTGTGTCCCCATCTACTGGGAGAAATTATTCACAAACGGTCAACGTGTGTAGTTATCATTCTAACGTATGTTACCGTTAGTATAGAGCGCATACATTTTTACTAGTTATCCTACAAGATTCTTTTTATAATAAGTTTTAAATATTTCTGAATTTATTTATGAAAATATGTTGTGTATTATATGATACTTGTATTTCTCGTTTGTTTTTTTCAGAATAAAAAGATGTCTGAAAATTATGAATCGGCATCAAAGAAGCTTGAGGAGCAGAGCCAGCAATTGAAAACAAACGAAAATGGTAAGCCAATACTACCGTACAAAGACAGGACATAATAATATTTGAGAATTATTACGGCAGGTTATTAATATTAATAAAAATAATAACTCAATAACCTTTGGCATTAAACTTTGACTCATGATATAAGGTAGTTGGCAAGCACCTGTAATTTATATAAAATATGAAGATTATTACGAGATAAATCCTCAAGATTATATATATTTTATTTCGATTTTTTTAGCACTTTTTTTTCGCTGCATTGATAAGAGGTGTGACTGTTAGGTCGTAGTCTATATCATTGGGTTACTCATCAGGTCTGCAGTGGTAGCAACACAGTATCTGGTATTGCATCATGTGTGGTGTTGGATCATGTGGGATGTGTCCTGCAGTGATTAACTGGCTTAACAAGCAGCTGAACTCTGTGAGCACGGCGGCTCCCTTCCTCCGTCAACCACGCGGCCCAGCGACCCGGCTCTACTTCGGACCCACGTTCAGACCTCTTCAGGTAGTCCTCCGGTATTATGGAGGGCTCGTATTTCACCACGGCATCGACGGCAACTTCCCTCATTGCCCTCTCACTTGCCGTGGTATCCTCCGAACATCGACGCTATTCAGCCAATACAACGACTTGGCTGGGTCGACCGTATACAGATCACGTTTGACGATGGTGGTTGCCTCTAAGAAAGCCACTTCGGACCTTCATGTGAAATGCTTATTCTATTCAAAGAGCATCAGAAGTGTGACCATGTCAATGTAGTTATTGATTTTTGCCGTGGCAACTTATTAGCTAGTGTTACGTGTGAACCAAGCAGATGGAACTTCAGAACGTGACCATGCAAAAAATGCGGCTTGCATTTGCACTGTCTCGTGTATATTATAACTCGTAAGCCACGTATTGTTATGCAGTTTCAATATGCGTATCGGATTTCGCAAGAAGGTAGATAGTATACGCACGCGAGAGAAGGTTGCTGGTGAGATGTCGAGGTTTTTCCTCTCTTGTTATGCAGGGTTCCTCTCACAGCACATCCACACTCGGACTGGACAAGACCAGGTCTGGCTTTGAGGTGGTGAATCCAAGACTGTAGTGGCACAGGTAAATTGCTAAGAAGTATGATAAATAGTTATGTCATCATCATGAGTCTAAAATGTTATAACTTCTGAATGAAATGTTGCGCAAGGTTCTGGAATTAATTGGCATAACTATAAAGTTTCTGCCCCGGGAGTTTATGTTGTGTATACACTGAGTAGGAATCTGAAATCCTCAAAGACATACGTGTTGTGTTACCCGTGTGCAACAAAATGTTCTCACGTCGTCTAACGAAATCGTTTACTTGTAGTTATAAGGCTGCAGGTGCAGCACTGGTCGACACAGTGCCATGTCCGGAACAAGCAGATGGCAACACACCTGGGGCATGGTGTCAATTCCTGAAGAGTTTCTAGCAGACCCTACGCGAGCAGCGACCAAATCCTACTACCCATCTTAGACAGCAGCATTGGGCAATAAGAAAAGTAAGCAGCGTGCCTCTGCTGTGTTTGAGCCATTAATACTTTTTAAAGTTATCTTTTTAGTCAGATATTTAAAAAAAAAAGTTAACGGATTGGAGCATGAATTGTTGCGCATCAGTTGTGTGGTGTTACGCTTTCCTTGTTGCTCCAACTACTACTGTTGACTACAATTACTACACCTTGTTTGCTGCATTGTATTTTAGCGAGCAACCGTTGGACCCCAAGTATCTGAGATCAACGAGTAGCGGTATTCCCGCGAGAACACTCAGCCGAGGGATGACCCATGCCATCGCCGCAACACGTCCAACACTGTCGGTACAACGACGTTACAGAAGAACGTGGCGCCCCCTGGTGGTGCGTCATCACGGTCCGTGCTCCGCCGAGAGCCAATCAGCGCGTTGGACCACCCCTGGCGTCCGTATTTTTCCTCAGACGCAGCTAACGTGACAGTGCTGCATCTGTGACCAGCGTTCTTTTTGTATATTCAAAATTTATATTGAGTTTGATTACCCACAGTGGTGACTGCACGCACGATGTATAGTGTTGTTTGACACCAGTGTGCGTGCAATAGAAGATGCAATGAATTTTTAACGTACATCTGAATCTGTTCTGCTATGGCTGCATGCTGCACCCTTAATGCATATATTATTGCGTGTGAATGTACGGAATATTCAGAGAATGAACATCGCAATATAATGTGAAATATAAATGTGCACTAGTGGGCAGTCGTTCATATTGAATTTGTTGTCAGATGATACCTATGTTAGCGAGATGTAAATATCTTAAATGAAGTTACATAGAAACTAAGAGCAATTAGAGATGTGTAGAATTATTATCAAACCATTATACAGCGCAAAATATCGAGCCATTTCTTGGCCGTGTCATCACAAAGGTTATAAGAATAATAAATGTTGCGTGGTCTTTTGAAAGGAATATTTTTTTCTGACGAAATTGACACAGGCAAGAAAATCGAAACATAAATACCTGTAAAAATTGCTTCACTCAGCTTACGTGTATTTAGTATGGGCCATATTATTTCAACCAATTTTAAGTGCGTGTGGCTGGCATCACTGGCATGCAGAGAATGTAACATTTTTATGCCAGTATTTTGAACCACACGCGACACCTAAAGTTGAACAGTTTTGTTGGCCATGCACACGGATCCTGTTTACGGCACCCGCCAGTTACATATATGCCAGGGATTATTAATGACAAATGTGATTTTTCGTTATTAACCCCTGATATACGCCTATACTGAATATGTGTTGGTGATATTATTTGGGTAGATGTTATACTACCTCGACTCTGGTGGCATCTGTTTGTATTGCCAACCCTCCTTCAGTGGCGTATCACGGTACCTAGCATAATGTTTTAAAGGACTACGTCACGAATTTTCTATGGTAAAATTTGTATATAAAAAAAATTAATTTTTTTACATTAAAGTAAGAAACTAACGGACTAACAAATCGTCAAATTCTTACCTGATAAGATTGTTTCTCAACTAGTTAAAAATCCAAAAACCTGGCCGATTTGAATTAAATATTCTCACATTGCTTGCTATGGCTATGTTATGGGTCACGAGTGTATGTTCACATCGAACAATATAGTAAATAGGAAATAAATGCAGCAATTTAACCATAAAATGTGAACAGTTACTTATATTTTGTGAAAAAGTGGAAATATTTTTTTTATTTTTACTATTTTACGTGACGTAATCACTTTAAGATGATTGCATTGTGCTTGTCGATGAACCAAATCTCGTAAGCATAGCCACAAACTGCACTCTTCGAGATCGGATAATCCAAATTGTAAATGGAGTGGCGATGTTTAGCGCGGGCGAATCAACCGCAAGACCACACAGCCGCCGTCCTGCTTAGCGGACTTGTTGGATTTACATCTTATATACACGCTGATGAGTGTGACTGTGTCGTGTGTGTGTAATACACTACAGCTTCCCCTCGCTGCCCTCTCTCTCTCGATGAGTGTGACTGTGTCGTGTGTGTAACACAACAGCTTCCCCTCGCTGCTCTCTCTCTCTCTCTCTTCTCTCTCTCTCTCTTCCGCCGCGCGCTCCTCTCCTCTCTCTCTCTCTCTCTCCTCTCTCTCTGAGAGGCATTAATTGCCTATTAGCATTACAGACGTTTTATAGCCGGATATAATCGGGGATAAGTTGATCCATCGCATGCCCTATGGGTCGTTCTATAGCCCAGCGGCAGTTAATGTAAGCGGGCTATAGTACTAGAGCTATACTAGTAGTAGTACTAGTAGCCAAGTGAAGTCACTAACACTGTAGTAGTAGTACAACTACTAGTACTTAGCTAGTACTTTTAGTACTAGTAGTAGACTAAGTACTAGTACTAGTACTAGTAGTAACACTAAACAGTAAACCGACCAGGCTCTCCGACTAGTTACACGCCACGTAGTGTTAAGCGAGATGGGAACTTGTGGCTACACTAACACTAACAGTAACACTAACAGTAACAGTGTCAGTGTCCGTGACACAGAGATACACTGTCACTGTCCTGTTCACTGTTCCTGTCCAGGGGATAAATACTCACAGTATCATACATGTAAAGATAATATACATTAATATATGCAAAGATTTATATTTCTCCTATATATTCACTTTTCTTCTATAAATACATACGCTTTTATAATTTTTGTCAAAAGTTTCGAGTTGACCTCCATCTTCAATTTCAGCGCCGATACATATATGAAACGTGAATCGTGATTCGACAGCATATAGTACAGTACTCGTGATTCGTCAAAAGACAGCTGTTCACTTGTTCCCGTCATAACGAAACTCTGGTTCCCTGACTCCATGGTTGAGGCCTGAGATTGGGCCTACAGTAGTACAGTACGTAAGTTGATTTTTACCTGACCTGGGAGTGGGTGTTTAGAAAGAGTTCAGGAGTCCGTGTATGTCGTTTATGCGACGCATATTCTCTCGTGTTACCAGCGCCAGGTAAGCTTATCTTATATTCTAACTTATAAGGATATAAATCATTAAATGTAAGCACCTGCTGTAAAACTTATGTCATGAGTTATGGTCACTTTATCATTTATGGTGCACTTTATGGTGCACTTTATTATCCACTTTTATGGTGCAAATCCACTTTAGGCACCTTAGGTATCACGAAGTGATGCACAGATTTCTGTGTATCATCAACTGATGCACAGATTTCTGTGTATCATCAACTGATGCACAGACGTTCCGTATATCAAGGAGTGATGCAAAAAACCTAACCCTAACCCTAATTCATAACGTATAACCTTAAGTATCACGAAGTGTGTTAAGGTTAGGGTTAGGGTTGGGGTTTTTGCATCATTCCTTGATATAAGATTGATTAAGGAATTTTCTAAATATCTAGATTTTTCTAAGTTGATTCGCCCGCGCTAAACATCGCCACTCCATTTACAATTTGGATTATCCGATCTCGAACAGTTATGGAGCAGCGCAGTTTGTGGCTATGCTTACGAGATTTGGTTCATACCGACAAGCACAATGCAATCATCTTAAAGTGATTACGTCACCGTAAAATAGTAAAAAATAAAAAAAATATTTCCACTTTTTCACAAAATATAAGTAACTGTTCACATTTTATGGTTAAATTGCTGCATTATATTTCCTATTTTACTATATTGTTCGATGTGAACATACACTCGTGACCCATACATAGCCCATAGCAAGCAATGTTGAGAATATTAATTCAAATCGGCCAGGTTTTTTGGATTTTTAACTAGTTGAGAAACAATCTTATCAGGTAAGAATTTGACGATTTGTTTAGTCCCGTTAGTTCTTACTTTTAATGTAAAAAAATTAATTTTTTTTATATACAAATTTTACCATAGAAAATTCGTGACGTAGTCCCTTTAAAACATTATGCTAGGTACCGTGATACGCACTGAAGGAGGGTTGCAATACAAACAGATGCCACCCAGAGTCGAGTAGTATAACATCTACCCAAATAATATCACCAACACATATTCAGTATAGGCGTATATCAGGGGTTAATAACGAAAAATCACATTTGTCATTAATAATCCCTGGCATATATGTAACTGGCGGGGTGCCGTAAACAGGATCCGTGTGCATGGCAAACAAAACTGTTCAACTTTAGGTGTCGCGTGTGGTTCAAAATACTGGCATAAAAATGTTACATTCTCTGCATGCCAGTGATGCCAGCCCACACGCACTTAAAATTGGTTTGAATATAATATGGCCCATACTAAATACACGTAGGCTGAGTGAAGCAATTTTTACAGGTTATTTATGTTTCGATTTTCTTGCCTGTGTCAATTTCGTCAGAAAAAAATATTCCATTTCAAAAGACCACGCAACATTTATTATTCTTCATAACCTTTGTGATGACACGGCCAAGAAAATGGCTCGATATTTTGCCTGTATAATGTTTTGATACATAATTCTACACATCTCTAATTGCTCTTAGTTTCTATGTAACTTCATTTAAGATATTTACATCTCGCTAACATAGGTATCATCTGACAACAAATTCAATATGAACGACTGCCCACTAGTGCACATTTACTATTCACATTATATTGCGATGTTCATTCTCTGAATATTTCCCGTACATTCACAACGCAATAATATATGCATTAAGGGTGCAGCCATGCAGCCATAGCAGAACAGATTCAATGTACGTTAAAAATTCATTGCATCTTCTATTGCACGCACACTGGTGTCAAACAACACTATACATCGTGCGTGCAGTCACCACTGTGGGTAATCAAACTCAATATAAATTTTGAAATACAAAAGACCGCTGCTCACAGATGGCAGCACTGTCACGTTAGCTGCGTCTGAGGAAAATAAGCGGACGCCAGGGGTGGTCCAACGCGCTGATTGGCTCTCGGCGGAGCACTGGACCGTGATGACGCACCACCAGGGGGCGCCACGTTCTTCTGTAACGTCGTTGTACCCGACAGTGTCGGACGTGTTGCGCCGATGGCATGGGTCATCCCTCGGCTGAGTGTTCTCGCGGGAATACCGCTATCTGTTGATCTCAGATACTTGGGGTCCAACGGTTGCTCGCTAAAATACAATGCAGCAAACAAGGTGTAGTAATTGTAGTCAACAGTAGTAGTTTGGAGCAACAAGGAAAGCGTAACACCACACAACTGATGCGCAACAATTCATGCTCCCAATCCGTTAACTTTTTTTTTTAAATATCTGACTAAAAAGATAACTTTAAAAAGTATTAATGCTCAAACACAGCAGAGGCACGCTGCTTACTTTTCCTTATTGCCCAGATGCTGCTGTCTAAGATGGGTAGTAGGATTTGGTCGCTGTCGCGTAGGGTCTGCTAGAAACTCTTCAGGAATTGACACCATGCCACCAGGTGTGTTGCCATCCCTGCTTGTTCCGGACATGGCACTGTGTCGACCAGTGCTGCCACCTGCAGCCTGATACTACAAGTAAACGATTTCGTTAGACGACGTGAGAACATTTTGTTGCACACGGGTAACGACAACACGTATGTCTTTGAAGGATTTCAGATTCTCTACTCAGTGTATACACAACATAAACTCCCGGGGCAGAAACTTTATAGTTATGCCAATCATAATTCCAGAACCTTTGCGCAACATTTCATTTCAGAAGTTATAACATTTTAGACTCATGATGATGACATAACTATTTATCATACTTCTTAGCAATTTACCTGTGCCACTACAGTTCTTGGATTCACCACCTCAAAGCCAGACCTGGTCTTGTCCAGTCCGAGTGTGGATGTGCTGTGAGAGGAACCCTGCATAACAAAGAGAGAAAAACCTCGACATCTCACCAGCAACCCTTCTCTCGCGTGCGTATACTATCTACCTTCTAGCGAAATCCGATACGCATATTGAAACTGCATAACAATACGTGGGCTTACGAGTTATAATATACCACGAGACAGTGCAAATGCAAGCCGCATTTTTTGCATGGTCACGTTCTGAAGTTCTATCTGCTTGGTTCACACGTAACACTAGCTAATAAGTGTGCCACGGCAAAAATCAATAACTACATTGACATGGTCACACTTCTGATGCTCTTTGAATAGAATAAGCATTTCACATGAAGGTCCGAAGTGGCTTTCTTAGAGGCAACCACCATCGTCAAACGTGATCTGTATACCGGTCGACCCAGCCAAGTCGTTGTATTGGCGTGAATAGCGTCCGATGTTCGGAGGATACCACGGCAAGTGAGGAGGGCAATGAGGGAAGTTGCCGTCGATGCCGTGGTGAAATACGAGCCCTCCATAATACCGGAGGACCTACCTGAAGAGGTCTGAACGTGGGTCGAAGTAGAGCCGGGTCGCTGGCCCGCGTGGTTGACGGAGGAAGGGAGCCGCCGTGCTGCACAGAGTTCAGCTGCTTGTTAAGCCAGTTAATCACTGCAAGGACACATCCCACATGATCCAACACCACACATGATCCAATACCAGATACTGTGTTTGCTACCACTGCAGACCTGATGAGTAACCCAATGATATAGACTACGACCTAACAGTCCACACCTCTATCAATGCAGCGAAAAAAAAGTGCTAAAAAAATCGAAATAAATATAATATAAATCTTTGAGGATTTTATCTCGTAATAATCTTCATAATTTATATAAATTACAGGTCTGCTTGCCAACTACCTATCTATGAAGTCAAAGTTTAATGCCAAAGGTTATTGAGTTATTATTTTATTAATATTAATAACCTGCGTAATAATCTCAAATATTATTATGTCCTGATCTTTGTACGGTAGTATTGGCTTACCATTTTCGTTTGTTTTCAATTGCTGCTCTGCTCCCTCAAGCTTCTTTGATGCCGATTCATAATTTTCAGACATCTTTTTATTCTGAAAAAAACACACGAGAAATACAAGTATCATATAAATACACAACACTATTTCATAAATAAATTTCAGAAATATTAAAACTTAAAATTATAAAAAAGAATCTTGTAGGATCAACTAGTAAAAATGTATGCGCTCATTATACTAACGGATAACATACGTTAGAATGATAACTACACACGTTGACCGTTTGTGAATAATTTCTCCCAGTAGATGGGGACACAGTGTTATATTTGAATACAATAATTGTGAGAACATTACAAGACCTAATTATTCACCATTATGCAGCGAACTGTTCTTTCATTGCAGCATGGTATAGTGCCTTTTAATAAGTTTATTACCGTATTTAATGTTGCATATATAGATATATATCAATGTTAGAATGACAATTACACAGAATGCTGTCTATGAATCTTTGTCCTGATAGATGGCGCCACAAAGTCATATTAGACTACAATTCTAATACTATTACTAGTGCGTTCGATTTGCTTCCCCAAGTTAACCTGGGTCTACTCGGGCCCGACCCAAATACGTTCGATTTGGCAGTTACGTGCTATTTTTGCGTTACCCGGGTGAGGCCGAAGTAACCCGCTAGCCGAGCCGCTCACTTGGGGAAGTATCCCACAATTCATTGCAATGAAATCTTCAAAATCTTCAAAAATCAAAAATCTTCAAGCAGTAATGAAGCATGACTGTCGATGACTGCGTGTGTTTTCTCATTCTTAGATTTCATTAATAATAAGATTGCAATTGCTATTATTTTTTTCTTGTCACTGGCATCCATGATGATAATTAACCCGGGTTAGCCCAAAAACCATTCGTTTATCTTCCCTAACCCAGATGCGTTTGATTTCTTACCCAGGTTAACCCAGGTGGCTCTGGGAAAGCAAATCGAATACACTATACAAGATTGCTTACTTACCTGAGTTTCTAATACAGCCACCTGTTCTTTCATTGCAGCAATTTCTTTCTCCTGCTTCTCCAGAACCTGGCTCTTTTCTCCAATGACTTTCTCCTGTTCTGTTGTTATCTGAGTCCTTAATTTTAACTGAAATTCAACACAATAAACAAATTAGATCCATGCTTTTCAAAAGATGAGTAAAACAACTCTACATAAAAAATTCTCCCTCAACTCGGTTCATCGGTAACCTTGTGGCTTCCTGGCAACACTCCATAAACTACGAGAATCTACATTTAGTAGTGGAGTCATAGCGGTTAGTCCAGATGTTTCACACACCTCCTTTCTCTATTATTGTGTTATGGAAACTTTACAGCACATGCGACTCTACTTTACACACCTGACCACGGAATAGCAGAGCAAATATGGCAGAGTGGGTACTAGTACGAAAGTGGCGTGAGCCTGCAGGCGGACAATGTCAGGTCATCGATGGCGTTACCTTTCCATGGTAGTTCCTGACCTCTCCCTGCATTTTTCTAATGATGTCATTAGCCTTATTGAGCTCATCAGACAGGCCTCTAATGGATGCCTCCAGTTTGTGCGTGTGCCTCTGCTTCTGTTCTAGGCTGTCCTCTACTTTCGTCTGCAGGCAGATGCGTAACCATGACGACAGAACCAATGCCAGCACTCACGTCTGGACATGACGTGACATGGCAGGTGTTACGTGGGTGTATGTAGCAGGTGTGGGTATATTTTTTGTGTCTTGCTCTATAGCTACCACCTTCATCTCCTGTGTGTTACAAGGATATATATATAGCTAGTGTGGGTATATTTTCTGTGTCTTGCAGTATAGCTACTAGCTTCATCTCCTGCGTGTTACATGGGTCTATATAGCTAGTGTGGGTATATTTTCTGTGTCTTGCAGTATAGCTACTACCTTCATCTCCTGCGTGTTTTCTAGAATATAGCTAGTGTGGAATCGGTGGAAATATTTTCTGTGTCTTGCAGTATAGCTACTACCTACATCTCCTGCGTGTTACATGGGTCTATATAGCTAGTGTGGGTATATTTTCTGTGTCTTGCAGTATAGCTACTACCTTCATCTCCTGCGTGTTTTCTAGGAGGTCGTTGGATCGAGTCAGGAGCTGCAGCTTGTCTCGAAGTTCCTGCTCCAGCACAGCAAGTCGCGTCTTCAGCTGATTCACGTGCTGCAGACAACACACGGCAAACAACACTAGATGATTCTTCCACGCGCGGCGCAGACGCACGACGAAGAATGCAATTAAACACGTGCGATAACATGAGCACGTAATAGATGAGCGAGGGAATTCCGTTGTTCACATAGATCGGATCGCACTGGGACAATTTTCTGGGATAGGAAGGGGAGGTTACCCTTCATGCGACAAATCGCATTGCTCGATATTTCAATGCGTTCCTAGTTGTTATTAATTAAACTAATCGATAGTGAATGTATGGATTACCTGAGCAATCATCGTGCACCGTTCATGCACCTGACATTATCATAAGTAACCACTACTTCTACACTAATAATTCTGCCAAGATGTGAATAAATCTACAACCTATATCTACTCGAATACTTGAATCGCACAAGCCACCTTTTCCTTCTCGTGACAGTCTATGTCGGCTGCCGTGTGCTGCTTGCGCAAGCTCTGCAGCTCCTGCCTTGTCCGATGACTCTCCTCCTCTGAGCTTCCCAACTTCGCACGCAGTTCCCGCATCGTCGACTCTGCCTTGTACTTCTTGTCCAGCAGCTCCTGCAAACATAGCAGCTTACACGTCAACACAAACTACAGATAAACGCAGACTTCAGTTCTCTGCTGGGAAGTGGTGCTTCCCTGAATGATATCTTGCGCGACATCCTACACAAACTTGCAGGGAGTTATACGGAGTACATTTATTTTACGCTTAATTCATCTATTAAACCACTTGGCTAGAGTTTTGACAACAAATCTAATTTTCTTTGACAAGCAAAATGAAGTTGCTTCAGCTAGTCACCAGATGCCAGCAGATAAAACGAACCACATGCACCCGCATCACATTATTGTTAAATAACATATAGCTAATGAATCTACCAATGGCAGTATGACACATGTGTGCAGTGTGCAATACATGATAGCACAGCTGGGTAAAATCACACTTTGAATACCAACATTACCCTACCTAACCCTAATCTTACCCCTAAGTTTATAATAACCCTACCCTTGCCGCCCATAACTCCTAACACTACTAAACAATAGTAAAACTATTTTTGCAGCCGATGGGTTATCCGTTCATGTGTCGAACCTTGTTGCCGCGTTCCAACTCTTGGATGCGAGACTCCAGGTCAGCTGTGGTCTTAGTGTGTGTCTTCTCCTGCTCTCGCCTGTCTCTCTCATACCTTCCCTGCGCCGTGCTCTGCGTCTGAAGGCAGGTGTAGTGATTACGAACACAAACAATGAGCGAACACCCCGTACAACTGCAAGCTATCTGTACGATAGACTAACACTTACATACTTACACTCGACAGTGAGTTAGCATGACTCAGAGGAATCATGATCATGAAGGAAAGAAGAATACGCTCACAAAGACATCAACGACGCGGAAGGATAACACTGGACACGGTGAAATTACTTCTCAGGTATGGTTGCTAATGATCGAGGGGCTACGGAAAGTATGCACGGTTAGAGGAGAAATGGCAACTAGAGGAAGCGTGGATAAACTCAACATATGTTAACCAGAAAAATCATTAATAAATGACAATATCTAGGTAGAAGAAACATCAATAAAGGATACGGAACAGGCGTAGGAAGCATAGACAGACCACACAGGGAAGTTAGAGTAAGCATGTATATATCATCTATACAGTATATATAACAATCAGACGGGTAATATAAGCACTGATAAATCAAAGAAACCAGGTAGAGGTAGCATGGCTAAACTCGATTATACACCTATGAAGGAACCTAGGAAGAGGGTTAGACATAGGCAAGCTTACCGACGCGGTTTTCTCCCTCTCTGCTCTCAGCTCATCTGCATGCTTCATACTCATTGTGCTAAGCTTTGCTGCCCAGTCCGCTCTCAGCTTATCAAGCTCTTGTGTCTTCTCCGACAAAACCTTACATTGAAGAATTAACTTAGTTGTGGATCTCGGACTTTGTTCCCAAATATCTTACGGAAGCATCGTTAGCCGACAGACACATAGGATGTTGGTAAGGCCAAGAATTCAGGTGATATTTAAATCTATATGCATTTTTTTTCTGAGTCTTTACTCGGCAAATCGAGTGAGAGAGGTACTAGTGTGTTTATATGAATACAAACTATGATAGGAATAGACATGTACCATGTATCTTGTTTATATCATCATTTTCAATAGCAATGTTGCACCTTGTTCTCGTAAAATATACAATATGATAATAATTCTTTGATTACCTCTTGTGTCTGTTTTAGTCGCCTGTTGAGTTCTGAATCGAGTTCATTCAGCTGCACAACCATGTCTTTATTTTCTTGCTACAATAAAATTAGAATTTCATAGAAATTTGACATATCCTACTACAGAACTATGTGATTGATTCTCTCTGTCATGTTTCTGACGCTGCGCAAAAAGCTATAATAGACTGGGTCCGTGACATGAGGTGTCACTGTTCTAAACATGTCTACCATCTTTCACAGTTCTCCACTTATTCTTCTCTTTTTAGTTCAGCATAGATTTAACCCATCCTGGTAAAATAACTAAATAAATATACATACATACATACATATACACACATATATATATATATATATATATATATATACATACAGTGGAACACCAATTTTACGCGCCCCGATTTAATGCAAATTCGGATATAACGCGATGAGTCGTTGGACCTCCTTTTTTTGCTGTTATATAACCACGTATATATATAACCCCGATTTAGCGCGGCCCCCGCTTTTTTCGCGATGACATTTTATGGACCGCAACCATCGCGTTATAACTGGACTACACTGTATATATATACATATATATATATATATAAATTAGACATAACAGCATGTTACGCTTACCTTCACAGTCTTCAGACAGGATGCGAGGTACGTGGAGGTGTCGGCATCGGTACCTGGCAGCAGCTTCAACGAGAGATGTGTGAGGTGTTTGAATGGGTTGGTTTCTACCACGTTCAGGTATGACACGCTCCTATCCAGCAGGGATGACGACGGACACTCAAAATGTAGAACAAACCTACAAGACACGGTTTTGTCAAAATCAATCAGAAAGCGTAAAAAAGAGAAAATCTTTACCAATTACCATTTAAATTTTAAGGGCCAAAATGTCAGGTAAGCGCATTCTAAAGCCTGTAATAGGAATCTCAAATTCCATTTAATGAGCACGATTATTTAACAATTTTTTTTAGTAAGTGTGGAATAAAATAAATGAATATATATACATGTGGTGATAAGTGCTGCCCCCTACCTTGGAACATTAGAACTCTGCTCTTGCAGACACAAGTTAAGCAGGTCTATAAACTTTTGTGGAAACGCACTAAAGTCAACCAGCAAGCCCTGCTGACTCTTGAGGCTGAAAGAATACAGATAAATCTGGCTAAAAATACTCAACAGTGGCCACGCTCTTGATCAGGGCCAAACAAAATTCTTTAGTAAAATATCTAAGCATTTCAAAAGGCAATTCTTTATTGCCATTGAACTATGTGACCAAGTTAAAAATATCAATGTGAACCAAATTTATAGCGTGGCACATGTACATACCTTTGGAAATCCTCTTCTCCAAGAACCAAGGAGTACAAGAATAGAAGATCAGTTTCATCAGTTAACCTCACAATCAACTCCTGGGAAACGTTAAAAACAAGTTGTGTGTTAAGGTATCGCATGAAGCAAGGCCACGTCGTACAATTATGAACACTCAGTCTATAATTCCATTCAAACATAACCCACTGGTGATATGCAAAATACATAAACATGTTAGATTCCGTGTTTGAATCAAAGCAGTTTTACTTCTAATGGTACACAAGGACAATAGAATATTTATTGAGTTAAATGCCTCATATAACATATGTGTCAACTGTTATATAATAATTGCAATTGTAGTGTAATTTACTATCTATTTGGTATCATAGAGAAGGTGAATTAGCATTAATACACAGTAATGTTTGTTATTATTTTGAGAGCAGAAATATCATAATAACCTTCTTGTGAAGTGGTGATGTCAAGACATTCAGCTCGACAGAAATGTTTATGAAGGCATTCCTGCAAAAACAGTTAGACATATATATTCAAATAAATACTTAAAGGCATAATATTTCCATCGATTATGCAAAGTTGACGAATGCTACAGTAACTGGCACCTTGTGTAGTTAATAAGTACATTACCATATAGCCAAACGCGTATTAGTTTGTCCAATATCACTGCTAATTACTAAGAAATGTCTAATTGAAATCCGTAAATGGAGAAGGTGGTGGAGAAGGAGGAGGGGTAGGAGGAGGAAAGATGGTAGTGGAG